TGGCTCGGCCTGCTTGGTGGTCAATGCCCAGATCCCTCATGACTGGTAATACTGGAGGTTCATCTGCTGTGAGGAGATCTTTCGAGGCTCGGTTGACATGTTTGTCTGTGCCAATGAAGGCAGTCTTTTTGGCACTGACCTTGAGGCCGATGGTGGTGAGCTTGTCATACAAGTCCCGGTAAGCTTCGACTGCTTGCTGGGCCACCTTGTGGGGCGTGCTGCCTGCTGTGTCATCGCCAATGTCATCAACCCAGCTGGATAGGTGTATGTGTTTGTGCTGTTCGTGCCAGGGTGCTAGCGCCGGTGTTAGCGCGGCTTTGGCTAGTTGGTGGAAGAAGGGTGTCATTTCCTGCTCGGCTGTGATGGCCTTCGGGCCGGTGTACATCTGCGTGGCCATTTCCAGCATCAAAGGTGGGTATTGGATGGCCTGAGCCTGGTCTTGGAGTTTTGCTGGATGGTGTCATAAAAAGGTTGACAGGTCCATTAGGACTGTGACACCATGCTGCTGATTGGCCCTGACCACTTCTTGTCGGAGTCATTGGCCCCTGGTCTGGCGCGGTCGTGGTTCATGAAGTCTGGCAGTGCATGTTGCCACTTGTCCAGAACCATAATCTGTATAAAGTGGAGGTCAGGGTGATTGGCCGCTCTATGGTGGGGTTTTTGGGTAGCATCACCACCATGTGCATCTGTAATTGGGTAGGCAGCTGTGCTGTGTTTTCCATATCTTGGATCAGCTTCAGTAGTGGTCCAACTGTCTGTGGTGGCGCCGTGCGTAATAGTTGAGATGAGACGGCATCCGGGCCACCGGCTCGGTCTGGAAGGCCTTTGATGGTGTGCGCCAGCTGTCCAATGGTGATTGGTGTCAGGCCTTTGTGCCTGTTGAACTCTCGGGGCCGGCTGGTTGTCCCGCCTGATGCCCCACAGCGCTCCAGTCAGCAAATCTTTGGGTCATCCTGTGCTCTGGCTCTAGGTTTCTGTAAGGGCGCTTCCATGGTATCTCAGCATGTCCTTGGGTCAGCCAGGTTTTGTATTGGAGATGGGCTTCGTCATGGGCTGCCTGCTGAGCCTCCTGGAGCTGGCGCTGGATGGTGTGTTGGATCAGCTCGGCAGCATGTTCGTCTCGAAAATGGTGCCAGTGATGGCGCGTATCCAGGAATTGTCCCCATGTTGGAGGTCCCATCCACTGGTTCTGGATGGTCTTGATGGCTGCCATGGACCCTTTGGCAGGGCCGCCTGCCTGGGTAGCTGGTTGCTGCTGTGCCAGTCTGAATCTGGCCTGGAGTTGTTCCCAAAAGGCTGCCTTTCCTTTCTTCCAGTTTCCTCCCGGTTTTGGGGTCGTCAGAGGTTTGATGGTCAATCTGAGATTTCCTCGCAACAAGTACTGTTCAGTGATAGAGATCCAGTCTGCCCATTGCTGTGTCTTCTCGTTGACTTCAAAGGCTTGGGACTGAAAGGTTGTCCATGGTCGAAAGTCGATGTCCGGGACGACTTGCCTGTATTCTTTGGTGGCTGCTTCAATGTCCAGATGCAGCGTCAGAAGAGCATGTGGCCTCCAGGGTACTGCCCACTCGGTTGTCAAAGCTGTGGTTCCTGACAGTGACGTGTGGACCAAGCTGAAATCGATGACATTCCCTGAGAGCATGCTCACATCCGGTGCCAGTATATCGAAGTGGAACTTGGAAGGCAAGACCGTGGTCGAGATGGCGCTGGGCTTGTTTTGCCAGTCCCCGATGACAATGTATGGGTGACTTGTGGCCTGTAGGACTGCAAGGAGCTTGGAGATGATGGTGGCATTGGTTTCACTCTGGATGCTCTCGTTGGTGCGTAGGTACACCCCAGCCACCAAGATGGTTTGTTCTGTGGCCTGCCAGAGGAATGCCTGAAAGCCGCAGCCTTGGAGTGCAAAGGCTTCGATCGGTGTGAGCCCGCAGGATGGATCGCCGAGGACAATGATTCCCTTTGTTGGGCCAAGCCGGGACTCCAAATGCTGTTCTGCCTCGGATGGTGTAGTATTGGCAGGTTTGCTCATGTTTTTGTGGGTCCAATGGGTCTCCACTGGTTCTGGTCCAGTACCAGTCGATGACTTGTCTGCCAAAGTGGGTGACATTGGCATAGTGCAGCTGGTTATGTGTCTGTGAAGCGGTGGATCATAGTCCGGTTCTTCTGGTGGGTAGCATCTGGATGACCTGTTGTGTCGTCCTGAAGGTGTCGATGTGGACAGCCCAGATCTGCGTGACTTGACTAGCCAACTGTGCCATAGGGGTTCAAGATCTTCTTGTGCTTGGTTGCCACTCCATCAATTACAGTGTTGCTCGTGATGTGGGTGACGAGGATGGCTTTGTCTTCCATGAGGTACCTGCCCAAACCTTCATTTGCCCAGCCGTTCATCAGTGACTGCAATGTGGTGTTCTCAGGCCAGTCTTCGGGAAAGTCGACCAGGAGTGGAAGTTGCACTTGGTCGGTTAGGTAGCCACCTGTTTTGATTTCTGCATATGTATAGTCGAAAGCTCTGCTCTGGGAGTGGTTCCACAAAGTGTTCACGAAGTGATTGGCATCACCTTGGACATTGAGGTCATGTTTGCTCCAGAGTCGATGCAAACCTGGCAGGGTCTGGATGTCGACAGCTTCAGCCAGCTCCAGTGATTCTTGCGCAGCTGAATGGAGATTGCCCAGGGTTCTGTGTGCGTTTCTTGAAGAAGTGCAGACGTCCATGTGAATGCTCTCCACGGTGCATTGGCATAGCATCTGGAGCTAGGGTTGCCAACTGTCATAGACAAGTTTTGGAGGACGCACTCGGTATTGCAGCCGTAGGTGTGTTGCACCCTGGATTTGTGCGCAGCACTGGAGTGCTTCTGCTGGTTGCCGCTGGCTCCTCCTTTGATCGTGATCACCTGTGCCCCAGGTGCTCCCCAAATGTCGCCATCTGTGTCCGTGGCGGGTTCAGTGGTAGTGTCAAAATTGCGCATCCTTTGAAACATGGATGCTGCCTGTGGTGTTGGACTGGTGTTCTCCCCTTCACAAGGATTGAAGTTGCCCCCTTGTTGAAAAAGAGCTGTGTCCTTCATGTCAAGTGGTGACTGTTCCCCTGCACCACTGAAGGAGGTCCCCTGCTGGATTGAGCCGGATGCAGCACGGCAAACCGGTGTTGTGGTCGGTGCCTCAAACTCATCCCAAGGTATCGGCGCCTGATACGCTGGGAGGCTGGTTGCGCCCGTGTTGGGAGTGTTACCCACACTGCCCCCCATGGGGTGGGACCACGGTCTCGGTTTTCCTGCGTTTGTTGATTTCGTCGTCCTCAGCCTTGGGTCTCTCGAAAAGTCCATGAAGTTGGGGTCGTTCCTCCTCTGTCAAGTCTATTCCAAGGCTTGTGACGAAGGTTTCAACAGCCATGGGAATGGGCAATTCTGTGGATTCGCCCGGCTCGAGTCCCGTCGGTGGTGGGGTCTGTGTGGTGACCTTCATGTATTGGTCTGAAAGCTGTTTGAGGCGCTGTTGGCCATCATTCAATCTGCTTTGCAAGTCTTGCGTGTCTTGTAGCATGGATGCATATTGAGACTTGATCCAGTACACTGACTTCAAATCCCCCACCTGTGCTTTGAGCTTGGACTGGATGCCTTCAGGTATCACATCCCATGTGCTAGCCAAGAGCTCAGCTGCTGCTCGTCAACAGATTGCTCATGCTTGGTCCACTCATTGTCCACCTGCTGGAACCTTTGCAAGTGCAAGATCAGGGCATCTGGCGTACCATACAAGTATTGACCATTGTCTTCATTGGACCAGGCAGTGATGAGGTCCTCCAGATTTGGGTGGCGTGGAGTCTGCGGAAACAGTATGTTGAGCGGTACCTGCTCCCTCTCTTCAAGTCTACCGAAGAAGCGGCCTCCGAAGAATTTGGACCCCGAGTACTCCCATAGATGACCGGTAAAATGTACAACATCATTGTGTCTTTCTGGCTCAAAGTGCCTCCAAATGTGACTCACGGAATTGGGCATTTCTCCACCCCAGGACCCGCCAGAGCCGGATTTGAAGGATGTCCTGAGAGACAATCTGTCTCACCTTCCTGCTCCGGTCAAGGAACTTGTAGAGAAGATCACAAAGCCGCAGCCTCCAACAGAGAAGGACGTGGCCATCAAGCTCAAGCAACAAGTCTCCACCTTGACAGACCTCTCGCACCGGCCCAGACTCTGACCGCACTGGCATCAAGCTTATCCCAGGACGATAAAAGCAAATCTCCAGTTTGCTTCTGGATCTTGGCCGTTTTGCCAGGGCCATGCCAAAGTCCTGGAGGAGGAGTGGCACTCTTGGCGATCTAGGATTGGAGCGCGGGGCTGGGGAGCGAGCTGCATAGCCTTGCTGTGGCTTTGCCCATGTGGATCCGCGTTGAATTGTCTGCGTACACAGCCCTCACGAACTCGATCGTCCCAAATCCAGTTTCTGCAGTCTGCGCGTCCGCATACTTGATAGCTGCGTCGATGTCCTCGTTCCATCTTCAAGCGAGCTCTGCCGTGGCACCCTTCTCTGTGTCAAAAGCAAGGTTGGAGTTCTCGCGTAGTTCCCAGGGCCGACCCGCTTGAGCCTCCTTGAACCAGAGCGGCTTGAGCCGTATGTATGTATGTATGTATGATTTATGTATGTAATGTAATGTAATTTAATGCAATGTAATGTAATGTAGTGTAATGCCATGTAACGTAATGTAATGTAATGTAATGTTGCTTTTTGTTTCTGATGAACAATCTCTTCACGTCCACCACCTGGCCCCAAACAACTGATTTGGCTACAAAAAAAGGGCATTACTACTAGTAACAACAAGCTACTACTGTAACAAGGGCACCGCTACTAGGAGCAACAAACTAATTGTAACAAGGGCATCGCTACTAGTAACAAGGGCATTCCTACTAGTAGCAAGAAGCTAGTAGGTGGAGACCATTGCTATTAGGTTGGAGGCCATCGCTACCAGTAGCAAGAAACTACTAGTAGGGCATCAGTTTCGGAACGGCCAGATTGCCCATGGCAGCGAGGGCTGCTGTTTGCCCACCTGCAAAGCCTTCGAGTGTCCTGCAGGTGGGCATGTGCGCTTTTGCAGGATGCAAAAGACAAAATGTGCATTAACACGTATCCTGCTCTTTGCATGCGCCTTTGCATGCTGTTGCTCTGAGGCTCTGAGGACCTTTCATGTAAAAGAGCTAGCTAGATTCTAAGAGACCTAGCAGATGGACTCAGTCAGTGGTGGCGGACTCTGCGACCACGATTCACGATCAATCCATGTTTTGATAGAGTCTGATAGAGCGCTGCAACAAAAGCTCCCAGGAACCTTGGGTATCTTTACCCGGGCTCAGCTTAATGGGATTTACGATTTGTTACGCCTTGCATCCCGAAAACACATGAAACCACTGGAAATGCCCGTTTTGGCGTCATCATCATCTAGAATCTAGAACCTCATAAGACTTCATTTGCATGATCCGTGCACGGACTAGGCAACATCCGGTGTCCGGGTAGATTCCACATTTTGGGGGCTGGCCAGTAGATGTCCCAGTCACCTTGCCGCAGTCTGGTTCACGACAAAAATTGGTCTTTGCTTTAAACAATCCTCCGAACTGGGGAATCTTTAGGGTCTCACATGAACATCTGACAATCAGTTCACTGGGAGCGGCTAGTGAACTCTTCTCCGCAAGCCGTGAAGCCAAAAGCACCGCCGTTGAAACGCTTTGGGCACTTTCAGAGGCCTAGCCCAAAGCACATGCATCATTAGCCTGTGCGACATGTCGAAGCAGGATTTTTCAACCTACTCCAACCTAAGAGCGATGGCCTCCCTCTGTTTTTATGCAGACGCTAGCCTCGTCACGTGTTGAACGACCCTTTGCTCGTGACCCCCTAACCCGACACAAGGCTTTTGGAGAAACGCCTCAAAGCAGGAGTAATTAGAGAATGCAGGATCTGGTCCACTAAGCCTGTTGGATTCTTTTTCAATCCAACTCGGCGTGGGTTCCCCCTCTGGCGGGTTGGCAACTTGGCTCGTGTCCCCCATGTCAAATTTAGCCTGGTGTCCTGAGCATTTTGAACACTTCCCCACACAACGCATGTTTGAGACTTTTTGTGTTAAATACACTGATGTCAGGCTGGATGAAATATCACGAGGCGGTCCGAAACCCAACCATTAAAGTCAGCCAACACTCAGTGTCGGGGATGAGCAGAGACCCTCTCACTCAGTCGATCCTGCGCTCTCTCACGAGTCGATCTGTTGTAGTCTTCAGATTCACAGAAGACAGAGTTTTCCAGGCTTCCAGGCTTCCAGGTCAAAGTTTTGACACGAAAGTATGATGCAGTGGATCATTTTTTCCTGAGAGCTGTTGGTCGCTGTTGGTCGCTGATGTTCAACGCCTTTTATGACTTGGCTCTGGTTTCACGGAACATGGCTGGCCAAGTCAGAGAAGAGCCAAGGACAACTTTGTGTCACCGTACTTGACAAAAGATGATTGCTGCCTGCCAACTTGCGCTGTCCACAAGTGTGGCAAAGGATGGTTCACTAGTGCCTTGGCAGTCCAGTGATTCAATTTCATGGCAGCAAGTCTTTATACCGTTCAAGACTATACATGATTTCAGAAACGCAAATTCAGCATATTTCTGCACATACTACCCACACAGGTGTACATATTATATATACTATGTACACACATAGACCCGTCACCCAACTTAAACCCAACGGACAGGGTCAACTTACTTCGCGATCCAGAAAAGAGGCCAACCATTTTGTTTTAGTAATTGAACGATGTAAGCACCATACGTCAGCCAGAACACATGATGATGTTTCGCGACGGTATCAAAGTGGTTGCTAGAGGACAATGCTTGCTTCCCAAGGCACGGTGCCCACGAAGCTGGCAAAGGCAAGGGATGAACCCTCCTTGGTGATCGATGCAACATCAACAAAGATAGCCGATGTTAATGCGTTCTGCACCTTTGTGGAGCATTGGGCATGTAAGAGTCATTTTCTATTGTGGAAATTCAGTTTCAGAATAGCTTTCTGTTGCTGACTAAAGTGTAGCTACTTGTCAGCCCTAAAAATCTAGATACCACACGAATAGACATATGAGCTTTCCTGCGTCCAGTAGGTAATAGCGGCTAGCCCTTGCTCAATTAAGTAGCCGCCTACTTTAATTAAGTAAGGGTGAGGGCAACGCCCCCGCCAAAAAAAGAGCCTTCCTCCTGTTGCCTCCTCTCATTCCAAGTTTGATCTCGAGCGAGGTCTCCCGCTCCGACCGCACGTGCTGCGAACCCAGTTGCGCCGCAGCCGGGTGTGCTGCAGGCGTGGTGCGGTGTGCCGGTCGACATTGTGTTTGAAGGGTTGACTCCGCTGAAAGATGTGGCACTGTTTTTTGGGACGTCAGTGGCACATCAACTACATACTCTATATAGGTTTTAGGTACAGTTTTGACAGGTCTCTGGCGTGTTTTCGGGCATGAAGAAGCCCCCGTGGCTTTCTCAGACTCAAGACAAGCTGAGGTTTAGTTTTGAAGCCCAATGCATTCAACATCTCCAGTGGCTCTACATGCTGTGAGTTGGGCGCTTGGTAATGCAAGCCATCTCCTAACTTCAATGCACGAGGTTTGTTCCTTCATCAAACCGTTTGCTGCATTCTTTGCTTGTTGGAACTTCAGATTTGAGCAGTATGGGGATTCGTGTTGTCTCTCTGTGGCGGATGACGGGAACTGATTTCCAGGAACATCTATCCTGACAGGGGACGTGAATATAGGAAACACATTCTCACAGTTCTCATAGTTTGAACAAATGCGATGAATTAAGGGAGCAGTATAAATCTATCATTTGACTTACACAACTGCAGCCTGCGTGTATTTCCCTGCGGTGTTTGGCTCAAAAAGCGCAGCTTTGATCGATTATTCTCCACTAGTATTGACTGGTGTGCGTCATGGGAAGCTTGGCATGACAGCTTCAGCTTCACTTGTTCAGGATCTTCCATTGGAGTCACCAAAGCCATGCCATTGCAATACAAAGTATAGACCAAACTAAGACAAGGGCCCAGGGGCTCTACCTAGACCTAGACCTAGACTTCTCAGAGTTTTCTGAGAGGCCCTTTCATTTCCGTCCGTGCTGGCTCAGGGCAGACGGAATCTGATCAAGCAGAATCAGAAACAATAGACGAGCCTCCACGTTCCAGCCTGCCAATGCTCTTGCAACTTGTCATCTCTTTAAGAGGTCCTGAGTCCTGTTTATCTGTTCCTACGAAGCAACCTAGTGCCTCCAAGCTTCTAACACAGCCTTCTTAGTTAGCACGGACTTGAAACATTGTTTGGCGAGGACGTTTTCTTTGCGGTCGTGCCGTGTTGCACTACCTCACATGCCCCCGATCTGGTGGCAAGGCAAGATCCTGTGACACGACAGAAGGAGGGCCTCAGCTACAAGGCACCATGGCATTGCGTAAGTCACAGGCTTGAGAGTCGAATTTTGGTGCAAGTCAGCCGACACCACCATTGGTGTTCGCAAGCTAGTATCAAGCAAATAAGTCCTGAAGATTGGAGGCTGAGCCTGCAATTGCATATTTTTCTTGAAACCCTGCTGTGACGAACAGCATTTCGATGATTGCAAGGGCTCGCACTTTGGACTTGGAAGACACCTGCAAGGTGAGAGATATCATTGACCCTCTATGGGCACTCTCACCCTCTACTAGTCTACTAGATCGCAGTGAAAGGAAGGTGCAGACTGCCCATGCCAGATATGTTATTGGAAGTTATTGGGTTGTTTGTCAGCCAGGCATATCCAGTCCGATTTTTCAGCATCTTTCAGCTGGGGTTTTGAAATGTTCTGAACGGATTCATCTCGAGGCCAAAGAACCAGATAGCTTCTCTGCCAATGCCTCAGTTGGACTTTACTGGATATGTTTTATCCAAAAGGAAGACAGTGGACCTTTTCTCGCTTCATTGGGGCCAAAAATCATCGTTTTAGCAACTAAGCCTTTGCAAAGACTCCTGGGTTGGCCCAACTTTGGTTTTCTTTGGTGCCGCGAGCCTGAGGATTTCGCCGTTGTCGATGATTCTCCTGAGCCAGCCGCTGGGGGCCAAAAGATAGAATTTGGATTGAGGAATGAATGTTAGTGTTTGCTAAAGTGTTGACTCAGCGCCAATTTAGGATCATTTATGATTTTGGATTCATTATTCAATCTAAAAGTAGCTCATAAAATGGTTCATATTTGCAAGATGCAATATGATGTATATATACGTGGCAAGGTCTTTAGGTGCGACAGCATTGGGGATGGTGCATATGATGGTGCTTCTATAATCTATAGGATCACAATCAGATCTTTTGGCGCTTCGCCGAGGATTCGCCGATTAAGCACCAGCCGATTCACCGGCAACGCGAGCCAACGGATGCAGAGAAGAAGGTGGACCAGTCTGGCCTTCTTCAAACGTGGAGTGAGTCCAAGTCGTTCAATCGGTTTCAGAATCATTCAACGTAGGGACACTGGAGGCCGGACCCAGACTGGCATCCAAAACACGATGATGCCTTGAGACTTGTTCTTGTGACGACTCAGAGGCCAAGCGGGTCGAATCGTCCCGTGAGGTGCTTCGGCAATTCCGCGTTCACTGGACGGAGCAGCGGGGCGAGCTGGAGCGAATTGCCAGGCGAAGCCACCCGAAGGAGAGACCCCTTTTTTTCCCCAACCCAGAGCCGGATGGAGTCAATAAGTGCTGAGCAATGTTGACTCAATCAGAATTTAACAACTGATGTTTTCTTTTAAAAATCATACCAGAGCAAAAGTGCGGACGGTATTGTAGGGGGTAGATGCAAAAGCGTAGACATTATATAATCCAGGAGGGGTTATAGTTAAAGACCAAAAGGGGAAGACATTATTGTAGGGGGTGTTACTATTCAAGGTTTCTAGTGTACTGGGCGACTCTCTTTGTGGAATCGGTTTTTGCACTAATGTGATAAGATTTAATAAGGGGTTTTAAAAGAAAAGCAATAAAGTAAAAAGAATCTAAATGGACACCAATAATGCAGTGAATTCAATCATCGAAAGAGTCACAAATGAAAAGCGTAGACATTATTGCAGGTGATGTTATACTAAAATCACACCAGAGCAAAGTGCAGACAGTATTGGAGGGTGTGTGATATTTCTCTTGAAGCAGGAAAGCGGGCATTTATTCCAGAGGGTGTTGGTATTCAAGCCCGAAGGTGCAGACATGATTCTGGGACCATCTACAAATCGACCTGGAAAGTGTGTAGACATTCTGGGACCTGGATGGACATCACCGATATGCCTGGGAGTCAGATGGCGAAGATTTGGACATTGAATGTCGCTCCGATAAAGATTGTTGGGTTAATAATTAAGGTCAAAGTTGACTTGACACTACTTGACATGTCTTTCTTCTTGACACCTCCTCGACGAAGGCAAAAAGAGCTAGAAGAGTTGCTGGAGAAAACGCATCAAGACATGCGCATAAATGTGAGGATCGCACCTTGCCAAAGCACAGGGGATTGCTTCAGGTGGAAACTACGGTGCAAACCTGTTCTTGGCAGTCAGTAGACAGGAAATAAGCTTGATTCTTTTTGAATTTGAGGGGGGCCAACCCTCCTGGCCATTTGTGTATGGGTTTTTGGTTGGTGTTCTTCTGGGTGTTTCATGTTGGTACTTCGTCGGGGATGGTCCAGAGGGGACTTAGCTTCTCCACGAAGCTCGACTTGGGTACGCGAATTGAAACGATTTTGGACCGACAGGAGCTGGAAGGACAACGGTTCCACTAAACATAGATTTCCTTTTTTCCAGGAACTCGCTGGAACTCGCTGGAAGCTTTTGGAATTCCTATTGCTCTTATCACTTGGCTCTGCAACTTTTCGCCCTGGAATACTTTGGGATATGGTTTCATATGTGTTCATTGACTTTTGCGAACCGAACTCAACCCCGAAACCTGGCGACTCTGGAGGGCCTCGATCGGTTTTTTTCGTGAAGGGGTCGTGATCCAACATCCATCCTGATCCAACATGGGATCAGCTTTTTGCTTGTTTAGCCCCTACTTGTCATCGATTGGCAGACCGAGCGACCACCCAAGTACACCTCGTGTGTTTTCTGATTGAAACACATCCAAAAGGCTATTAGGAGCATTTTGTGTCTATGTTGGTGTAACTATGGTTCAGTCAATTGTATGATTATGAAAAGCCCTGGAAGCTTTGGGAGGTGATTGGAACATCACCATGAAGCCATCACCGGTTCATCTGATTCAGCTGGGTGATTGGAACTTGATTCAGCTCGAACCGTGTTCTAAGGATTCTTTGCCCTCGAACCGTTATGGCTCGGACTCACGCTTGCCTCAGTTCAAGAAAGAGGAACATGTGCCCGTGCTGGTTTCTTGACAAGAAGAATCCAATGATTCAGTTCCAAATCAGTTTGTTTGAGCTAGTGGTCATCGGAAGTTTATCAGATTGTTTGATCTCTCTTTTTTGCAATGCTTTCGCATTCGCAGAAGTCCGGATGCCACTGAGGCTCTGATCAATCCCTTTGCAGGTGGGGGACGAGTATATACCGTAGCCAGGGCCAGAAGAATCAAGGTGAGTCAATCTGCCACAATCCAGGTGCCATGGCTGGCTCTGATATTCTGGCCATTGCCAGACGGACGCCCTACTACCAGGACATCATGCGAATGGGAATTTGTAGCAGACCATCAGAGCCCCTCTCAAGTGCAGGCAACGGATATGATATGGCTGATATCGACTAAAGAACGCATTTATGCCACCCCGGTTGCTTTTACGGCGCTGCAACCGGTTTTTTCGGTTCAATGACGCCTCGCTGAAATGCTCTCCCCAGTCCCGAATGATGTCGCGAATGAGCCAAAAACCACCTGTCCTGGTCCATCCTTTTCATCCTTTCCTTCCAAGTCTGACGCTTCAAAGGTTTGCGAACCAAAGCTTTTGAGAACCAGTTCCTTCACCATGAAGCTCCAGTTCCTGAGAAAGACAAGCTTTTGAGAACCTGTTGTTACGAGCTGGTGAAGGTCATGGCAAATTCAACCCGCCACCAATGCATGAAGACGTCCACAAACATACCCATACGACTGAGCCCCAAGACTGTATTCCAAAATAGTTTTGATTAGATACGGGATACATGCTTATGATATCATCACACAGTGCCCCGAGATGCCCTTGATTGGAACTCTCTGAAAACAATGATGCAAGAAATGCTAACTGTATGTCTTACATCGCCAACATTCCAAAAAACGTTGAGCAACGTAGGTTTCTAGAGCAGCTTGTTAAGCCTCCGCACCTTTGGTTTTGGTAGATGCTGTTTGAAGGATCATCCAACACCTCCATCCTCGTCCGGAGGACCGTTTCTTTAACATCATCGATGTGGTGCGTGACCAGCGCCGTGGTGGTCTCCTAGACCTGCTGCGGCGGGAGCTTTGCGCTGCGAAGGCAGAGGGCAAAGCAGCAGGTCGACGTCCCCGGGTGATTTCAGGCGTCGCTCTCTCGGGTGTTGGGTGGGGGGCATCAGGCTGGTGGCGGGTGGCTGGGGAGCTGTCTGAACCGGTCTTGGTGACAGCGAGGTGA